AATATGTATAAATATGTCTTTTATATATTTTATATTATCTAACTTTACTAGTAATCAAAGGTTAAATAATTAATCTTTAATTGTGTTTATGAAAACATCTGTTGAAATATATTGTTTGAGTTATTTTAGTGCAAAGGATTTGTTGTAATCATTAATTTCACAATTTTTTAACTTTTATTTATATTCTTTAATCAAATGTTATTAAAATTTGTAATTTATATTTTTTAGACTATTAATACTAAACAGAATCATATTATTGAGGTTCAAATTAATTTTAAAACGTTTTATATTATAGAAAACTTAATACAGTATTTGAATTATTAAATAATAATAAATTTTATTTAAATTATTTATAAAATAATACTGTTATACATCACAAAACAAGGAAACAATAGTATTATTTAAATGCAGTTAATTACACAATTAAATTGTTTTATAAATTTAATAATAAAGTTATAAAATACAGAATATTCTGTATCTATTCCTCAATTACATTTTTCTTAGACCCTTCACAAACATTACTGCCATCGTTGACACACTTTCCCCCTTTTCCCAATCCAGCACATTTATCATGAATAATCTTGTTTTCACACCCACCTACTTCGGCCTTTTTTACAAAGTGAATCTATTGGGGAAATGGATCAAAATCAGTGGTTAGTTATAAATATTTTCCTAATTTATGTCTCACTTGTATGCCGTCGAGCAATGAATGGTTGCCCTCATTGTCTTCGATGGTATAGCCCTCTCCCTTAACATCAATCCAGGAATCGGCGTAATTCTCGCCGGACATACCGGTGCCGTCGAACACGTTATTCTTGATTATACCGCAACACGAGCCCTCTTTGATGTCAATCTCCTCTGCGGCCACATTTGGACCGATTCTGTTGTTGAGTATTTGGTTTCTGTCACTTTTGTCTGGCTTATCGTCCTCCCAGTTGCTCACCTGTAAGCCAGGCATAAAGAAACAAGTATTTTCAAATTAACGTTAAAATAGGATTTAGTTTAATAAATGAATACAATCATATTTGTATACTCATATTTATATTAAAATACAACAATAATACTAACCGCTGATCCAATATACACTCCTTCACCAAATCCGGGATCACCGAGACCTGTGGTATGTATGTATGACTTTCGCAGAATATTATCGGCGCTATTCTTTCGGAAATGAATGCCCTCCTGTTGGATATCGTGAACCTCCAGGTCCTCCAATATGTTATTGCTGGCGCCGTCTAAGACAATACCCTTTTTGCTGTTGGCGACTGTAAAGCCTTGGAGTACCCAATAGTCTGCCTGAT